GCTGGCTGAGGTTAAACCACGACAAAACTCCAGCCAGAATATCATTTCTGTGTGGATAGGCTTCGGATTTTAATTAGGTTTTAAATTGCACAATGAATATGTGTCAGTTAGGATGTAGTGAGGAAAGCAAATTAAGCCTGTTGTTTTTTTCAGTCTTGACGACATGTCTTGGAGAAATGCCTAGCACCTATGTGCTAAAAAAATTGTATATGTAGTGCTGAAGACTGTACTGTTAGTGTCCCTGTGTATGAGTCTCTACTACTTGATCAGACTGGGTAGAGAAAAGTGCATGAGTGTTCAGATCACCCTGAGGGCTTAAGGCACAGGAAGAAAATTAAGAAGAGTGGGCAGTTGATTGAGAAACATGCTTAAGAAGCACGGTAGCTTTTCATGGATTATGTGTAGTGTTCTGGAATGTGTTCTTAAGAGAATCTAAATGAAGCTTAAGGTTTTTAATGGTTTGGGGTTTTGGGTTTTTCGGCTTACACAAGGCAATACAAGGCTGTGTTATCTTAAGGCCATTTCATTTTCTTATTCAGCATCTTTATAAAAACAAACTAATTTTGTTATCAGTTATATAATGAAAGATTTAGATTATACTAGTATACCCATACTAGCCACTGTGGAAAAAGGTAACTCTACCTCAGCCCAAGCCAGTGCAACTGTATGATTTTTGTAAGTGTCCATACTTTTAAAACTGAAGATTCAAATAGATAGATAGATAGACAGACAGACATCAGGCTTGTACACATAATTGAAATACTCTCATTAGGGTATATATTGAGAACTTTAGTGACAAATAATGTGAAACATTTGTTGAGTTAAATGAATGTCTCTAGTATTTTGTTCATGAGGAAACACCCAATAAACATAACCACAAAATCATCAAGGTTGGAAGAGACCTCTAAGATGGAGTCCAAGCATTAACCTGTCACTGCTGCAACCCCTAAACCCTAAACCAGATCCTCCAGTGTCAGATCCAGATGCCTCTTCAACACCTCCAGGGATGGTGACTCCACCACTTCCCTGTGCAATATCCCAGTGCCTGATCAAATAAGCTATGTATATTAATAGTGCTTCTGTTTATTGTCGAATTTAACAAGTAAATATCTAATTGTTTAATTTGACAACAGAAGGATTGAGGAGTGTGTAAGTGTATCCATCCTCATGCTGACATGGCAGTGCCCTTGAGATAGTCTTAGAGGTGAGAGATGTGGGTGGGTTGCTTTGAAGTCAGTTCAGACTTTGGTCATTTGTGATTTCACAGCATAGCTCCCATATGTGGTCTTAAACCCAATTCTGAATTCTAAAATGTAAGACTGTCTTTGGATTTCCTAACATCATATAAATAACTGATCATAAGCTACATTTAAATTAATAAAATAGATATGAAAGTATATGTTACATCTTGCAATTCACCTGAGCCTTACAAATTAATTTTTTACTTGAAACAAGCTGTTAAAATCTTGTCCTTTTTTTTATGTAACTAGGAAAAACTACATTGATCAAAGCCTTGACTGGGGAAGCAGGACTTCAACCCAGAGATCAGCTGTTTGCCACTCTTGATATCACAGCCCATGCTGGCTATCTGCCCTCACATATGGCAGTGATTTATGTTGACACCATTGGGTTTCTGACTGATCTTCCACATAATCTGGTTGAGTCCTTTTCAGCTACATTAGAAGAAGTGGCTTACTCGGTAAGTAGTTGCCTATAAAAACTGAGAAATCAAATTACTGTCATTTTAGATAATCTTTGCCCTTCAAAAAAGGGAGTTAATTGACAAGCTGTTCTTAGTTAAGTATCTGGCTAACCATAGTAGTCTTCTAAGATAAGGAGGTAAATATCTTCCCAGAAATCAATTTTCTGATTCTTGAAATTGTGCAAAATACACAGATCTGAAAAGAATTCAAAATGGGCTTATTTGGAGTATGAAGAGAATTCAAAATGGGCTTATTTGGAGTGTGTGTGTCCTTCTCCGTGATACATAAACCAGATAAATCAGATTTTGCTGATTAAATATCTCAACGGTGCATCCAAGTGAGCTGAGCTCACTTTCTCAAGAGTTAAAAATTAAATAAAGCCCGTGAAATTATCTGGTTTTAACTTAAGGTTTCCTACATCACTAAAAGTGGGTGATTGTGATGTGATGCAGGCAGCATGTAATAGACACAAATACACTCTTCCAATTATTTTCTCATTATTTTCCTGTGTTGTAACAAAGTGTAAAGCTGCACACATACACACAGACATTTAAACAAAAAGCCTGTATGGCCCAGGGTGATGAAATTCAGTGGTAGCTCCATGCCAGAATGCTTCTGAGGCCTGGACTTCACCATGGGCTTTCAAAAGCTGCCTGAAACCATCACTCTGAAGCGTTAAATCAAAGGCAAGATATTTATTTCTCCTTAATTTTCAAAGGTTTGAAGCAGTGTCTTGAGCAAAGATGATGAATCATTCTGAATGCAAATATTGAACTTGGTTGCTTGGTTTTTATCGTGGCAAACATGATGGTGTATGTACTTGAAACTGATAGCTTTGGTATAAAGCTTTCTAAGTGAAGAACCAGGAATAGTATCTTGGCAGCTAAGGATACTCTTGTACATTTTGAGTGTAAAAGCAGACTAACAAGTTGCATGGGGTTTTTCCCCCGTTTTGAAGCAGTTTTTCAGCCATTACTCTTCTAAACCTTTTGAGTTCACTCTTTTTCTTCTGCAGTGTTTTTGAAGCCCTTATTGTTACACAGCCTTGACTTTGAAAAATGAATCAGTTATTATCTGAAGTCTGAATTCTGTAACTAGCTTGATTGACAGGGTTTGTTTCTGGTTTGCTGGAGGTAATTTGTACTCACTGTGAAGTGAAAGACTAAGCTGCTACAGATTTTCTTCTATTGTTGTCCAAGAAACAGTATTGGTAGTTCATTTTACAGTGCTAACCTGACAGTGTAATGTCTAATGGTTAGAGAAGTCTCTTATACGCATTAGCAATGCATAAATGGTATAAAATCTTTACAACCTGTTAACTGGTGCTGTATATCTATCCTTGCTAGGATCTGATAGTTCACGTGAGGGATGTTACTCATCCAGAAAATGTCCTCCAGAAAGCAACTGTTCTATCAGTTCTGAAGAATCTTAATCTTCCCAGCCATTTATTGGACTCAATGGTAGAAGTTCATAACAAAGTGGATTTGATAGAAGGGTAAGCTGGAGATACTAAGTGTACTTAAACATTTCTTATGTACCGGAAGCTTTTTAATTCTTAGCCTAGAAAAAGGCTCCAACACTTCTGAATACATTTAATAGTGTTTCTCAGTCTTTTACATATGTAACTATGGTCTTTAAAAGAATTAATTATCTTTTAATTACAAAAGAAATCACTTGAGTCATACAAGAAGTGGCCTCTGTAGAAGGTGCCAGTGTAAAGTAACTCAGTTAAATGGTCCGTGCTTGGAATATTTTCACAACCTAATCTTCATGAACAAATGTGCTAGTAATTATTGCCTTTCAGGTATAAACCCACTGAAGAAAATGCTGTAGCTATTTCTGCTCTACATGGGCATGGTTTAGAAGAACTGAAACAAGAAATAGAGAAGAAAATACTGACAACAACAGGGAAGAAGATTCTGACAATTAATGTCAACTTAGAGGGACCTCAGCTAAGGTAAGTAATTTTTAACTGTATGTAGGACTTGGAGAAATATAAAACTTTTAGTCATGCATGTCTTAAACTTTCCAACTCATATACTGATTTTAATCTGTGTTAAGAGTTACAGTGATAATTAACAAAGTTTTCTGGTCTATTGACAAAAAATAGCCCCATTAGACACCCTGGAGAAGTTAAGTGAAGTACTTCACCTTTTCAAGTGTTAAATTACCTAGCTAGGAACATGTTGACCTAAACCAGAGATGACATTTTTTGCAGTGTGTCATACCTTTAAGATGCTAATACACTTTTACTTTTGCAGTTGGCTCTATAAAGAAGCAACAGTTCAGGAAGTGGAAGTGATGCCTGAAGACGGCACAGCCAGGGTGAAGGTGATAATTGGCAGCTCTGCTTTTGGCAGATACAAAAACCTCTTTCCCAACAGTAAGATTTTTCTGTCATGAAACTGCATCCTTTTCTAGGAAAAGAAACTGGTCTCGTTAAGAGGATGTGAAATGAAGTTAACGACCTGTGAGTCTCAGGGTTGAAGAGTTTGTTTTTCTTCCTCCGTTGATGTTTTTGAGGCATTTTAGAAATGGACAATGTTCCAGAAAACCTTTGGAAACAGTAAGAGCTTTGAGCTTAATTCTGTCAGCAAGTGCAAGGACAGCACTAAATTTTTCATGTTAAAACTGTTGTTTTAACTGCTGTAAGCTGTGGACCTCAAACACATGGAAATCCCTTGATGGCATCTGAATTAACCTTCAGAAAAGTACAAAGTTTCTTATAGCATACAAATAAAGGGTTTTACCCCCTTTTTCAGAATAAAATAGTATTTATTACAGTTAAGGTGTCTCAGATGGTCTTTGAAAAAATGAAAGTGAACAAAATGTTGTTGGTTTTATATAAATAATGCAGATAAATATATATTCAAGTAGAATGCATGAACCTAAGTAAAATAACTGCCATGTCTCACTGCAGTGAAGAAAAATACCTACAGATTTGTATATTTAAGCATTAAATAAAGTTAGCTGTGAACATCTTTTACCCATACAGTTTTCTTGCCTGCAGTAGTTTATCCACAATGCCTATTACTGTGTCAGTTCTTAGAGAAAACACTTGAGGTACAGCAAGCCTTTTCACAAAGGACACTAAAACAAAAACAAAAAAACAAACCCATCCACAACTGATCCATTACTTAAGTTATGAATTACTACTGGGAACCAATAAAACAATATCAGAGAGAGGAGAAGCAAAACTATTTCAGTCCATATTACAGAGAGATATCAAGTTTTATTAGAGTATCAAGGGTACAAAAGAGAGGCAGAAATACATTCTGAGTATGTGTAACATAACACAAAACTCAGTATGAAGTGTACAGAGGCAAGACCAAGGATGAAAAACATTGTAAAAAAAGCATTTAGAAAGTCTTCCTCATGAATGGAATGTTTAGTTTTGACTCCCAAGTATTCTGCAATTGCAAGAGATTGCATGAAGAGGTAGTTTCTTACCCTTTCATGCTGAGAAGTCTGGGGTGAGTTAGCTATGATGGCAAGTAGCAGTTGATTTAAAACTGCTGCAAACATTAACATCTTGCCAGACATTTGAAGTCAGCTTTTGCATATAAAGTGCATCTAAAGAGTGAGGTATATTGGTGAAGGTGCATAGTGAACTTTACACAATGCCTGGTTTTGTTTTAGTCCTGATGCTGGCAATTTCTCTTACCTTCATGATCATCTGTTATTGCACAGTTCATTTAGAAAAATAGAATTAATATGTGATTGCAAACAGCACCCCTTAGTTTTTACATAAGCAAAAACTACTCACTGAAAGGAAAAATAATTATAGAGCTACTAAAATAGCTAAATAAAAGACCAGGTGTGAAGCCCCAAATGAGCAGGACAGAAGCCAAGACCTTGTATTTGTAGAGCAGTTTGAGTTAAGGAATTTGTTTCCTCTGTGTTTATTTTCACTGTAAGGCATACTTTGGCAACACCTAATAAAACATATTTCATTGCCACAGACAAAACTGTCTAGGGGCCTATTTTTGGTATCTTTATCACTGCAGAACTGGCATAAGTGATAAAAAGACAAAGTGTGCAAATACACAAACCTCTTACAAATCATAAATAATTTTGTGACTGCCCTGTTGGTAAAGGGGCTCACAACTGATACTCAGCACACAACAGTGCAGCCCTTCTAGATCCTCAGTGTTAATGATGTATTGGTGTATACATACAATCATGTCACACTGGATTCTCAATGCAGTACCTTTGATAAAGCTAAAATATTTTTAAACTGTTCCTTTTATGAGTTTAACACAAACTGTGAAAACAGACAAGTCAGTCTCACACAGATATAAAAGTAAGAATTGGGGTTGCAAGTAGGGCAGAATGTCCTTACAATTATAAGAAAGATAAAATCTTACACAAAATAATTCATGCAACTACCGACATATTTCTCCTTCTTGGTCCTATATAAAATAAAATTAAGTTCTTGGGACTTTGAATATTGCCAACTGCTACAGAATCAAAGCACCTCCAAATAAATTACATCTATACCATAGTTGTTGAGACTTCAGCAAGGTCTGCCTGCTCTCTTTTCTGTCAAAAGGCCTTGAAACCCTAATGATACTGTGAGCACTTTTCTTACTGAGTCTTTAAAGCATCTCTGGTTTAAGTTAGTTGTCCCTTTTTTTGGATTCAGGATGTTTACACCAGAGCACATTAAATGCAGACAAAGACTTTTCAGAGATCAGTGATCTGAGAATGAAATGCTATTTGTTCCAGTCTCTTTACTTTGACAGTGCAATGGGTAATTAAGTTTTGTGTTAAGTTCTATCACATCTTTGACAAAATCATTGTTTCCTATAAAGTCTCCAGCAATGATGTTAATACACTTTTTTTTTGGTCCTGGACACTGCTTCTTTATCCAGATTTTCAAGACTGGAAGACTCTGGAGTGTCATTTTCTTCAATGATCCAAATGGGTGTAGGAGAATATACCTTAAATTTTCAGTAAGGTTAATCCCTGCTACAAAGAATATTTCTGAAACATAAATCAGAAAGTAACACATTAAATATTCTTTTGAGGAAAACAGAAACTGCTCAGCACTGCATTAGCTCCAGATCTTGTTCCTGTGGGAATCATTAAAATACTAACTTCACACTCTGTTTTGTTTCATATCCCTACAACTGTTTCTCCCCTTGTTGCAGCTGCATACTGTAGTAAACAGTTCCTGAGTCAAGCTCAGTTATCAAACCATTCCATTTTAGCTAAATTGGTCTAGTTATTCACTGCAGTCTAAAGGTTCTCCACCAACTAGTCCTCCTCTACAAATTATGTTTGTTTCTGTAAGAGTTGCTTCCAGATGCTCAGCCTTCCCCCACGACAGATGGGAACCCAGGATACACCCACACAAGTGTTTTCCTTTGGCTGGGGAGTGCACTTAGGAACAGCTCTCCCATTCATCACCCCATACATTCACATCAGAAGCTGTCTGAGGTTATGAACTGAATTTGTCAGCTTATACTACACCAGCATGCTTGTGCACTGCTGTTTAGTGGTGCAACTACACCCTTCGTGTACTGTTCTGGTATCACAGAATCATTAAGGCTGGAAAAGACCTCCAAGATAATCAAGGCCAACCTTTGACTAAACACCACCATGCTAACTAAACCATAGCACTAAGTCCCACATCCAGTCACATCTTCAACACTTCCAAGTGTGGTGACTCCACCATCTCCCTGGGCAGCCTGTTCCAATGCTTAACCATTCTTTCAGTAAAAAAATTCTTCCTGATGTCCAACCTGAACCTTCCCTGGTGCAGCTTGAGGCCATTTCCTCTGGTCCTGTCACTAGTTGCCTGGGAGAAGAGGCTGAGCCCTACCTTGCTACAACTAGTTGTAGAGAGTGATAAGGTCTCCTATGAGAGAAACCTTGTAGGGGTTTCTTTTCACGAGGCTGGTGTAATGGATTTCTCTCATCATCTGTGCTGCTTGAAGCAGCAAGCACCAGATAGAGGAAGCAGCCTCCTGCCCATGACAGGGACACAACAGCACCAGCAAGCTTGTCTGTGCTGAGGGCTTCCTTTCCATGGGATCACACCAGTGAGGCTGCTGCCACAGTTTGTGTAGTCTGTGCCTGTACGTACGATGACACATGTATCCACACCACCAAAGATAAACTCTGCACTCAGCCATGGGCAGAGCACTCAGCTGTCATGGACACAGCATGCACAAAGCAGGTAATCCTGTAAGGCAACGATCACTCAGCTTCCTGTTTGCTCTGCACTGCTGCACATGCCCCTTCTTTCCTCCAGGCAACCCCCTGTGCCTACCTGGACGGCCCATCCGTTTCATGCGCTCCAGAAAGTGGATAAGAGCACGAGTGGATGTTTTGTTTCCCCACCAGTAAGGGATTGCAGGCCACAGCTCACAGTGCTTCTCCAGTTCCTTGTCCTCTTCGTAGGAGACTATAACCTGGTGGCCCTGCTGCCACATGGTCCGCAGTGTTGGCTCCACCTAAAAGGGAAGCATGCCCAGGTTGGAGTCAGCAACACAGCAGTGTTCCCAAAGTTCAAATACTGATGTGTGACATTGTCTTGGCACAGATTCAGTTCAGATAACCTTTAAACTAACAGCCCAGTAGGCCATGGACTGGGTTACAAGCTGTAGGGGCAATAGGAGCCTGGAGACTTCATCGAATTCCTTCTTTCCTCAAATAATTCAGCTGTGGTAATGTACATAACACAAGGTCTTACACCTGCACAACAGGAAACCATCCCTGTGTCAGCCCTTGTGCATGAGCTGCTGCTGAAAATTTGTTGGGAGAGGAAGATAGAGACCATCTTGGAGGCAAGGGGGCAAAGCTCTACACCCAGCTGTAGGAATGCACACAAAGAGAAGCAAATGCCCCACATCAATGCAAACTTGGTGCTGTGGCCATTAAAGAAAACTGAACTCCGTAAAACTTGGTAAGACTAAGTGTCAGTTTCCAAGAGCTATGTTAATTTTGATTTCTCTAAGTGGAAAGTTTTTGAAATTGGGATGCTCCAGACACCTTGAACTGAGAGAGAGGAAGAGGTGAGTCACAAACCTTCTCAGACAGACAGGTGGGCTGAAACAGGTTGTTAAATTTAAGTGTTTCAACATGAAATGACATTTTCCAGCCCTCAGGAGTTACCATTGGAGAGAACTGAGACCCTCTGGCTAGTTTCATTTGCAAAACAAACACATTTAACAGACATTGTTTTTTTCTAAGAATGTTGTGGTTAAAAGCTATGTCTGTTGCTTGTGAAAAGGAAATTGTAGCTTTTTGATGTTCCAATTGACTTATTAATTAAAATAAAAGCCAAAGGCAGTGGAAAATTACTTATGTAAATATCTGAAGAAAGCCAAGGGTTGAATGAACATGGGAATCCCTCTTACTTCATCCAAGAAAGAATGCAAGCCCCAAATAGGTCAGAAAATACTGCAAAATTAAGGCACAAGCTACTCAGACTACAAAACTCCGTGGGTGACTGAAGCCACTCCAGCTGCCTTTCTAAAACTGGAACCTCCTAAACAAACAAAGGAAAAAAGGTGTGGGATAAAAGAAAATT